CCGCGGGCGGTGCCGTGCGTATATAACGCGGGGAGCGCGGGGCGCTGGTGCCCCTGCGCTGCGCTGCCCGTCCTGCGCTCTCCCGCAGCCCCTGCGTCCCGCAGCCACGTGCGGTAACGGGGAACCGCTTGTTCCAGGTCCGCAGCCGCAGCGAGGATGAACGCCAGCTTCCTCCACATCCTAAAATCAAAAAAAGAAGTAAGTTTGTCAGAGACGTTAGTTCTGTGCTCAGCCCCTTCAGCCGGCGGGCTCAAGCAGGTGCACAAGCACCGCTGAATAACGAGCACCTTGTAGAGGAAATCGTGATAGCGAGAGGCACGTAAGTTGAAATTCATGTGTTGAAAGTGGTGTGAACAGTAGTAGAGAGTAACAGGTAATCACACCTTAAGTCCTTGGGACCCTTGCTCCCCCTGTTTGTGGCTCTAGCTGGGACTCTAGTCTTCAACTCTTTTCTCCGTTTTCTGTCTTTCAGCTCATTCCCCTGGTTGGAATAGTGTCCCTTGCAGCAGTTGGGGCGCTCTCTTTTTCTGCGTATTCCCTGTTCAGCAAATCCGATGTGATGTAAGCAAAATACTTACTGCTTGGAGTTTACCCTAACCTTTTTTTGTTCAACAGAGGTATTTGACCATCGTGTTTTCCTCAGAAAAGAAAAAAAAAAAAAAAAAAGCGGATATTCCAGACTATTAATAAGAACTAAAATACCTGCAAATACTGAAGAAATTAATTTCAGCATAGTCCAATTTCTTTTTTTCTTTGCTTTAGGTGTGATTGGTTTTAAATGTTCTTATGAAGAATTTCAAATAATCGATAGGTAAAAGACATGCAGATATGATGGAACCAGGCTATTAACTTGCATATAAAGAACAGCATTTGATAATGTGCACTTACAATAAGTTTAGATTTTAATGGCTTTAATTAGAGCCAAATCCTATACTCTGCAGCTTTTGGGAATTTTTATATTTTCTTTAGAGTGATCAGAATAGGCATTTTAGCTGTCAGGGTAAGAATCCATTTCTTTTTTCTCTGTGTCTTTATTCAGTTTTGATTTTTCATCTTGCTTCTTTTATGACTACACATTATACTTGAATAACATGGGTTTGTTTGGTGCCTTAGAAGCTGCAAATGAAGCAAACCATCTTTGACTTCTACCCAGAATTTAAAATAGAAATACCTAAACCTGTAAGCTTGCGTTTCTGGGAGCTATTTATGTAAATAGTTCTACTGACAATAGACTGCTTATAGAAGAAAATGTATGCAGAATCACACCCTAAAACATAGTACCTGTTTTGCTTTCTCCTCTCTTACAAGCATTAACAAGAGTGGCAACCCAGAACCATGGGAAACTGTTGATCCTACCAAACCTCAGAAGGTAATTTGTACAACTAATGTAGGGAGTTACAAATAGCATTTATTTCCCAAACAGTCATTAACTCTATTTAAATGTCTAGGGACTAGCAAAATATTAACGAGGAAACAAATGTGAAGCTGACATATATCTATTTAAAAGTGAAACTAAATGCTTAATTTGTTACTTTATGTAAAGTATCTTCCCTATGTTACTTAATGGTAAGGATTTGACTGTTACATTCTAGCTCTGGTCCTAAATTTATGGTGTTCCCCCCTTGCCCCAACATCTGTTTACTCAACTCCTTTTATAAGAGTGGAAATTTGGAGTGTAGAGGAATCACTGTTTACCCTTGCCTTATTCCTGAATTACAAAATTGGCTAAGAATGTTTTTGAACACTGCAGCCTAAAGGACAGGAATCTTAGCTCAGTAGAGCATTCTAGGATAAGAAAAAATAAAATTATTTGGCATTATTACTCAATATCCAAGTGATTTTGTTCAATAAATTATTAAATGTCATCTGTGGCTATTTTTGCTTCTGAAACGAAGATGTAAAGCTACTAGAAATCCTTCACTGATAAATTGATGTGTGATATGGCGGGTGGGAGTGGAGTAAATGCTTACTGGGAGTTTGCTAATTTCTTTTTTTTTTCCTTTTAATTTCTTCCAGCTCTTAACAATCAATCAGAAATGGAAACCTGTAGAAGAGCTGGAACAAGTCAAAAAGCTTACGAAGTGACAAGTTTCTGTTGCCTCAAAAAGGTACCCTATGAATCTAGTGGAATCACTTCTGCACAAACTTGACTACTTAAATCAGTGTGCGGAAATGCTTCTGCTACATTTTTAGGGTCTCCCTACATTTTTTAGACTCTGGATGAGAAGTTTCATATTGCTTTAGGAGGTGACGTAAACATCCACATAGTCTAAAAATCTGTCTCAAATATCAATTTTCAGCAAGCATTTGATGTCAAATGTTGAATATTCAGATAGTAATTATAGATGGGAAAAGCCTTCACACTTTTTTAGAACTTGAGTTTTCTCAAAATACATTAATTTTGTAATTCTACATATTTGTAAGAAAATATATTTTAATTTTTTACAAAATTCCATGTGTATTCCATAAATGGAGATTACCCAGAAGCCCTTCTAAATTGGGATTCCTGGTTTGCTCCCTCTCTATACTGTATTTCAGTGTTGTGTACAGACCAAATAGTCATCAGTCTTCATATGGCAACAAATGTGGTTATAAATTATACTTGCATTTTTCTTCTGTGTTAGACACAGTAATAATTTAAGTCAAAACTGTTGTTCTAACACTAAAACTCCTGTGCTCACCTTAACCCAATGAGGAGTCCAATAGATTATTTAAGGGTATATTTGAGACTGCAGGATTAGAACATAAGAATGAAGCATGACTAAAAGGGAACTGAAAGTGAGGTATTTTGTTGTATTTAAATATTGTTAATGTCAAATTTAGAAAAAGTGGCTAGAATTAGGAAACCTGAAGTGTCCAAAACTAGACAATGTTCATTTAATGGGCAGACCCCCAGTAAAGTAACATGGCAATATATGCATCCAATGGTAGAACAGCCCTTTTGTGGGTATTTTCTGACTGTGTCCCCTTCCAGGCAGTTCCACAATCTATTAGGGTTTATCTTACAATGGATGTTCACAATGTGTGTTACTTTCAGGGAGGAGGGAAGCAAAAGTGAAACAACTGCTGATGGGAAAAGTCCCCTTAAGTGAGTAATAGCAAAGTGCTTTAGGTTACTGTGCTGTGACAAAGACAAAGCTTGTTAGCAAAGCTGTCTCCTGGATTTTAAGGTAGCTTGGTTTCAGAAGCTCTGTTTTCTTCTTATTTCTTGAGGCTGAGGAAAACAAGTTAAGATGTTATCTTATACCCTACTTGTGCGCAGATGCAGTAGAAATTTGTTTATCAAGTAAGGATGACTCGACAGCATTTATGTTTAAGAGTGGGGGAAACTACAAGACTTCAGATTGTGTTCTAAGCTTTCATTTTAAGGAACGACATTACAAGATGATTGGATAGCATAAAACCACAAAAATCCAGTCCTCTGAGGAACACAAGTTTTAAGTATTTTGATAGAGAAATAATTTAAAGTATTTTCTGCAAGTTGTTCTGTATTTCTGTATTTTTACTAGACTGTATTAAAACAAAAACCGCTGTGGTCTGACTTCATGCATGAATTAAATGAGTTTGTTCTTCGGTAAATCATGTGTATGGTCTGTAAACACTATGACCTAAGTGTCTGTCAACATTAGGGAAATAAGTATGAGTCATTTTAATGTAATTTTTGCACTTAACTACTTTTTAGTGGCATCTTTCAGTAGGCATTAAGCAGTGTGACTGCCATCAGTCACAGGTTGTTACTCCTCTCATCCTGCCCTGAAGCATAATAGCTAAAGTAATAGAATGTTTTGCTTTATTAGTTGCTTTTTTTTTTTTTTTTTAATAAAGATTTGTAAAGGAGAGTTTTCACATAGTGTGAGAAATCCAAATATTTTCTGCACTTAAAAAATATTATGAGTATTGTTAAAGTTCTCGGGACAATTTTGTGTGTTCTCAGACTGTCCCTGAAAATACTCTGTGTTTGGTTTTTTTTTTTCCTTGCAAATAAAGCACACCAAGAGAAATTACTGTATCTCCCTGTGCAACTACTCAACATAAACCCATAAAGCAATATACCAATTATTCCTTGTTCTACAAACATCAGAGTTAAGACAGTAAAGGTTTAATTGGCTGAATTTTATGAGCTAACTTTTATGAGAACATAAAAGACTTCCATGTACTGTGTTATGCAAACCCATTACTTTTTATTCCATGGAAAATTTAGAGGCTGTTGAAATTTACTTCCTTCTCTCCATTTTGTCTCCTGTTTCATTCTGTTCTTGGGCTTAGGGTGTCCTTTTTTAAAGAATCACTATCTGCTCACCCCATCTGGTACTTTTCCATGCAACTATATCACTTCCCACTTTCATATTAATTACAAAGGTTAATTAAACAGCTCATTGGCTTGTTAAATTTTCAAAAACAGATTAGAAACAATTGGAAATTATTTTTAATGGTTCTAATCACCATTAGAATCATCATCAACATTACAATCTGTAGTCACGCTTTTCTAATTGCAGTTGGCTGTTAAGCAGTCTATTTGTAAATAGCATTCTGGAAGAATAGAGGGTTGCTTTCTGCAGTATGCATGCAATTAATTAATTACTCAGTTTTGTTATTACAATAGTACTTAAAAGCCTTAACCACAGATCTTGTGTCATTGTGGTTATCTAAGCACTATGTTGAGTTTTTCATTTGTTTTTCTTTGCATATGGTATCCTTGGTGACAACATTTCTGTCTGATGTCCCCTACCCCTGCATTTCTCTGTTGTAAGATGCTGTTAGTATAGTACTATACTATGTAGTTACTTCATTGGTGTGTGTGGTTTCTGTAGAAAATAGTAACTTACAGAAGGGCCTGGTGCAGTCACTAAAGGAAATTGTTCGTCCTGATGAAGTTTAACAAGGGCAAGT